ATGAGCTTCTTGCATTTCTTCCCCCCAGACCACGAGCTTCTGGAGAGGAAGGAAAGTACACCCATGTGACTTACTGTCAAATATTTGGCAGCACAGAGTTGAGCACCTAATACATATGGAACGATTGAATGAATAAATGAGAATCTTCTTTGCAAAGCTATGAAATTCTCACAGTTAAAAAAAGTATGAAATGCCCTCTGTAGAAATAGGAGGCAGCTTAAAAAAGAACAGGCATGTTAAATATTACAGCTCTAAATATACGAAAAACATTTTATTTACTCATAGTATCAGGATGCTGGAAGAGTTTTATTTTTATGTTCCTTGGATCTGACTCTTGCTTTATCTTTTTTGTTTAATCAACCCAGAGACAATTGTTTTTATGGGAGTGAAATAATGGATGAAGATTTGGGAGGGGCAAGAATATAGAACTGTCCTTTTTTTTTTTTTTTTTTTTTTTAAACTAAAGCAATTACCATGAGGATAAACAGCTTTCTCTCAATAAAGCAATTCCATAAATAAAAGTAGAATTCTTGATGTCCCAGCAGTAAGAGGTCTGCAGGGCAGTGCCAATGATATATATTGCTGGCTGGGAAAAACTCTTGTTTACAAGCTAATTGTTGTACAATAAGTCAGCTTTTGTTAGCTCTCTGAGAGGTTAAAACAACAGGTTCCGAAAGATAAAGTGTGTTAGCATGTATATTAAAAAAATCTGTGATTACAAACAATAGTTTGAGAGAATTGAAAAAAAACAAGTTAGAAAAAAGGCAGTTTATTAAGTAATATCATATAAATAACTTGTTACAAAAATTGATTTGCAAAAGGCATATTTACTCTTTGTGAGAAATCACTTTTTAAATTGCATTCTTTCAAATTATAAGTCTAAGAAAACAAAACAAAAGAAAAGAAGCCATTTCAAGGAGTGCGTATTTGCCATTTGACTGCCACAAAAGGCCCGGCCACACTGAGCTCAAAGTGAATACTCTCAACCCCATTCTTCTAACACAGAAAACTTTCTTAGATAAACTTTGAGGTTATGAAGATCTCCCTACCTAGAAATGTCAACGGAAGCTGAGCAGGGCTTGCTTTCATCAGGTGTTTTTGTTGCCGAAGACATGAACGATACTGAGGAAAACAAGAACTGAGTACGCCCACCAGTCAGTCTTCAAGGGTGGCATCAATTTCAATTTATATTTCCAAGTGTTTTTAATTAAAAACAATCAATACCAAAAAGCTTTTATTTTCTGGGTTTGAAAATCACAAATCACAGTGGGAGAATGCCAAATTGCCTTAGCTTGGTACTACTGAAGACGCACACAGCATTTATTATAAGGCCGATTCTTATGCAGTTCACTCTGAAAGCAATGAAAATAATCTCAAACAAAACAGTACAGTGGGTTTGAAGAATTCCTACGTTTCTTCTGAGCGGATCAGTTTTACATTTGCTACACGGCATTCTCCCCGAATGCCTAGTAATTCTATACATTTGATTCTTTAATAAACACTAAACTAATAGATCATAGAAAACTAAAAGCTTAGAGAAGGTGTCTCCAGACATATTTACATAAATAGCATCGCCTCACAAGAAAGACCAAGACCTCATTAGAGTGGAATGCTTTTTCCACAAGGCTGGGTCCATGCCTCATTTGTCAAATTAACCCCATTTGAGGAGAAATTTGAGTTTGTGGTTCATGGGTTTAAAAAAAAAAAAAAAACAGGAATTAAGCAACTTGTAAAGCTCTTTTGAAATTAGTCTAATAACCCAGCGGCTCCTCAGCTAAGTGCTTCAGTCCTGTCTGAAATACAGTGGGTAAGAGCCTTTGTTTCCTTTTGACCTCTTTTCAACACTTTAATCTGCTGGCTCTGCTGGGCTAACGTTTCCTCCAAATAAAGATGAAAATGCACCATAAATAAGGTATTACAAAATGGGGAGTAGATTAAAGATTGTCTCAGCAATGCTTAAATTAAATTGATGATGCAGAGACCATAAACTTCTGGCTTTAAAAATGAGCTATTTCTTTATTAACTTTTAACAAGTGTATGAGTCAATGTATTTTCTAAGAGGGTATTGCTCTCCACATTAAATATGGTTGGGGTCTGATATTTTTAGTAGAGAATTATCCCTTTAGAAAATTATTCCATAAAGATGCCATAGGGAGATTAAAAATGCTGTGACCATAAGAGCTACTGACCATTTAAGGAGACCACAGTATAATTCTATATTCTCTGGAAAAGGATGCTGCTTGTTTGAGCTTAGGAAACAGCTCATTTTCCTGAAGATTCACATGCCAAATGTTAGTTTTTCTGCACTTATAATCTGATAAGGAAGGTTGTAGTGTTAATTTAAACACAGACTGCTTGGATTTTGAGTCCCCTTCTATAATGTCACAATTCAAAAAAGATTTCATCTTGATAAAACATAAGAATTAAGATTACACTAAAATGATCCTTGTTAGAGAATACATTTCAAAATAGTGAAGAATCATGACTTTTTAGAGTCTTCTTCCAGAGTAATTACACTGCTTCAAAACTAGTGATTAGAATAAAATAATTTATTTGGTGGTCTGCTCCTGGTGAAAATGAATTTGGCTGATATGAATGAGTATCTGGTTTAAATATTTAGTTTGCACCCAGAAATCAACTTTGATCTTTCTTTTCAACTACATGATTTTAATGGTGCTTGAGTATACAGAATTGTCCAATTCATAGTTTACACACCATTATCCCTGATGGAATATCTATTTCCAGGCAAAGCATTTGATGTGAGATATTGCTCAGCTGAACAGGACATTGAAAATTTATGTATGTAAAAGTGAAAGTAATGGAAACATTCTAAAGTTAACTTGGATTCATAAAATTTGGATGCTTCTAAGATACAGATTCCATTTTTAAGAACTTTTTGCCCAACTTTTTGGGAACTGAAAATAAAAACTAAACCACACATTTTTAAAAAAAATACTGAGTTAAAATTAAATGGGCAGGTTTTTTTTCTATCTGAAAAGGGAGTAATTTCGTTGCTGAACATCCCTTTATGTACCCAAACTGTAAAGACGGGAAAGTTCTGGAAGGATCATCTATTTATTTACTGCACCCAGATTTCCTCTCTTGTGGTTCTATGGAATCATCTTTGCTTCTTTCCCATTTGATTTATTTACTTATTTGGGCAAAAGTGTTTTTTAGACCTTTCAGCAGAAAGTGGCCAGGAAGTGAAGGGGCTTCAAACAACGGCTTAATGTTTTTTAAAATTCATCGTATTCTGGGGAACATCTTAGTAGTTTAGAGGAACTCTTCTATTTGAATAGAGGGCAAAAACATATCATCAGAAAGATCTCAATGTCCTTGAAACAACCCACAAAGGCAATCTGGTTATGTTTCATAAATTTTAGTTTCTCAGTGATCGAAATGAATATTAAAATTTTACTTCTTCCCACTCTCCTTCCATCTTTCCTATCACCAACATCTAAAATTAGGACACAGACAATAAAAGAACTGAGCTGAAAATTATTTTTTTCTCCCGTAATCTTTCATGTTGCCTGGGACCTAGCAATTCAAAACCAAACCAAACCAAACCTGTACATGCAATGACGTTTGACCTGATAGTTGGGGAGATAAGGAAGTGACAGGAAGCTGGAGAGTGATGGAACTAGGGCTCCTATTGGTTCCACGATGTCAAAGAGTCTGAATTATAGGAACATGCCACTCCAACTTGATACTTACAGTACCCTGGTACTAAATATTCAGCCCCAGTCTCAGATTATCCAGTTTCCTATAAAGTTACTTCATCCTGAGCTTTTGTGATAAGAGATTAGTGTTATTTCCATAAGTAGTCACGTTAACCTGTCCTTGGTATGCTGTATCACCTTTGGGCAGGAATAAAGGCCCTTGCCAATTACATCTCAGACATTCCACCATAAAACTTACTTTCACTTATTAGGAGAATGCAGATCTTTCCCTTAAACACTGAAAATTGCTAGTGTCAATCCTCAACTTCAGATGATAGCTTTCTTTTTACAAGACTATCTTTCTTGATTCAATTTGTTACATGACATAAAACATAAGAATAGAGACCTCTTTAATTTGACAGTAAATTGTGTGATTAAGGTGCTGTTCTATTGCTATGAATAACTAGTTCTTATTAATTAACCTTACTAAGCTTTTTTCAACACTTACCTGTGACTATGATACATATCAATTCATTGAAGACTTCATATAGCCTTTTGTTTGCATTCCTCTGTGCGTGTGTGCGTGTGTGTGTGTGTGTGTGTGTGTTTGAAGAACTAGAGAAAAGAAAACCCTGAAAGCAAGAAATACTTCAAGCATAAAATACTTGTTAATATATAGGGCAGTCTATTATAAAATTGGAAACCATTCAGAAGACACAGGAATAATATGATTGTAAAAAATTTTCACTTGAATCAGGTAACCCAAAATACTACACTTCTCTTCTATTAAAGTTTCCATCTTGACTTCTTGGGTAATACACCTATTTAAAACATAACTAAACAACAGCATGTTTCCAAACAGAAAATATGTACTGATATGACAATATCCCCAAATGGAAATGACACTAAAATTATTCATAGAAAATTAATATTAATTGAAAATAAATCCTTAAGACTAATAAGTGAACTCAGCATATTCTTAAGTCTATATATATACAGAACCTGTCTTTTAGGTTTTCAAAAAGGATGTTTGTTTTCATTACAGTACGTTGGAACTTTCTGATGACTACATAAGGTAAGATTCTAATGACAAAAGTCATTCGAACAGCCATGTGAAAGAAATGATTTGAATCTGCCAGAAGGATTAGTTCAGTTCAGTTGAGTCCTCTGGATAATAACTGGCTATGAAGCTAATTGCACAATTAGAGAAATAAGAGATGGGATGGATTTTGCATTACTTTCTGTCATAGTTTGAGACCATTACTTTATCATTAGCTCAAAATCAAGGATGGCAGGGTGATCATGAAAGCAAAGTTAAAAACCATGAAAAAAAAAAATGAATGCTTTTGAAAATCAACTATCATTTTAATTACACTTTTGTTTAAAGGAATCCAATTTTCCCTTTGTAAGGGTCTTCCAAACATGGAATATGTAGATTTTCATCATAATCTCAACGTTATTTATCCAAATGTATCACATTATATAAATAGGTAGACATTTCCAGATGTCAAGGGCAGGGTATTAGGTTCAAGTGTAGCTCTAACCTCTCCAGTGAACTCCTAGAGTGAGATTTAAGTTTTATTTAATCTAACTTTACTAATTCAACTTAGTTGTGTAAGAAGGATATGAAGAATATGAATTATTGTACTTCACACTGCTACTTTCATATATGGTATAGTAGAATAATACTGACAACTATAGACAAGGAGTTAAGATTTATCTCAGGAAAATTTTTTCAAGAATTTTAAAACAATTTTGACATTTGCCTACTGATAGTTGAAAGAATTTCAAGGGACCCGTGATAACATGTGGTGGCCAAAACTTTCAACGTATGCTAAAATATATTTCCTTTGTTAACGTGATTAGCTATTTCCCCTCCCCCTTTATACGGTACAAAGGCAAACTTTCGCGTGTCTAGTGTAGGATATAACCAATTATGAGTTAGTGGAAGGAATGATGTCATACTAAGTTTGTGGTTGCTTTTGGATGTTACTGTTTAATTTGCTTCTATTCCTTAAGGGTAATGAGAATTTTAACATATGGGTGGATTTGAGGTTTTGGATAGTAGTTGATGCCAGAGAAAGTTCTTGAAGAACAAATAGGATGGGCAAGTGTTATTTTAAATTCTTTGCGACAGAAATAAACCCCCCCATGTAGTTTATCTCCTTGTGAGCCGATATGCCCTCATTTCTTTCACTATGATATTTTTATCTTTAAAGCACAGTCGCTTATCCCATTAGCCTGTGAAATGTGTAGTTGGGGCAGGAGGCAGGCCTGACACGGCGTGTAGGGAATCACCAGGCCCGCGGAAGTGAGCACGTTGCCCTGAGAACAAACGGAAACGTTGTTCCCTGTCCTCCCCCCGGGCCCGTGCCTGTTGGGATGACTTGGTTAACTGGATGCACTAAAAAATAAAAATTTGCCCCTTGGAAGCTCATAAAAGTGTACTAGAAAAAAGTCTCTACCATTGGATCCACACAGACGGCAGCCACTGGCTTTGAAAACGGGTGGAACAGAGAACCCTTCACGGAGTCGTGGATAAATAGGAAGAAATGGCCAACTTCACGTATTTCAGCGCCGTGTTGGAAAAGGAAAAAGGCAACAGATTAGGAGTCTTTGTCACTGTCCACTCCTCCGTACATATCTGCGAGCTTTTTGAACCGAGGGCCCCAGTCGCTAAGGTAATCATAGTCCTGGTCTGCGTCCGTGGTCACCGACTCCAGCGAGCTCAGGGAGCCCGCCACGGAGCCCGCGCCCTCGTACGCGTAGGTGGCCAGCGAGTCGTACGGCGGGGCGGTGGGGTCCGAGTCGTTTTCCTTTAACCTTTGGTTAATGAAATCTCTGACATCGGTGTTGTCTCGAGCTGTTGGAGTCCGCCGGGGTAGAAAAAGGGCTTCGGGCACGATGTCCCTTCGTGATTTGTTGTCCTCTATGGCTTCAGGGTTCCTCAGGGTGCCGATATCAAAAGCCTGGGTGTCCTCCTCGCCGCCGCCCTCGTCGTTGTAACTGACGATGTTGTCTCTGATGTCCTCTTTGGAAATGATCAAAGGCTCCTTTTTTCGCTGCCGCCTCAGCGCTGCGAACAGCACCACTGTCACTGGAAGCGGAAGACAAAACAGAAAGGGAAGGAGAAGTTAATTTGCTGCCCAGTTAATGTCGGGAAGAAACACCGTGCTCAAACGTGAAGTTTTTGAAAGTTCTCTAGAAAGCGCAGACTCCACTTTTACGTCTTTAAGGATGCGCTTGCCTCCATTCATGATCAAACCGGGACCCACAAAATGGACTAAATATTTGAAAGAAGGTTACAATTTAAGTAGAGGATAAAAACACCGTCATGTTTTGTCAGGAGTTCCTTTTTGCTTTGAAATGGCAAACTAGTTTCAAGGTGAGAAAAAAATAAGATAATAAAAAAAGAAGCTCAGCCTCAGTGAAATGTACTGCAGTCAGGGTGCAAATTATGCTGAGCACCTGAAATGCTCTGAAACTGGTTATAACAACAAGATTGGCACCTTTGGGGATGTGTCGAAGGGACTGCATAACTCCGCATCTAAAATAACTTTTGCGCTATGCCTTTTCTGTTGTCGTTCTTTGTTTTTTCCTGAGAAAAGTGTAAAATTAGTTTAAAACCCAAGGTAGACATGAATATTTGCATACCTTTCCTACATATAGAGTGATATTATTCCAGAGAATATTTGGAGACGGGGATATAATTCAGAAAGCCGTTTTGGATTTCAAGATTGGCTCACTTGAAGTGGGCAGGTAAGAATCCACATACCACATTATTTCTGTTTGAGCTAAAGGAAATAATGTGAGATTAAAAAAAATATTTTTCCAAGGTTCATGTTCTGTAAGTTTGTTACTAAGAATGTTCATTCTTATGATTTTTCCCTTCTAACTCAAAGTAGAGGCAAAGCAAGAATTGTGTTTCAATAGCTCCTGATCTTTCTCCGCAGCTGGCTGGGTGGAGCGCAGCTGGCTACCTGCAGAGAGACACATTTATCTACAAATGGACATATAGGTGAAAAAAATACAAGCATAGTAAAAGCTTAGAGAGAAAACAACCATCTAGGCCACAAAGTGCATTGTTCAACTGGGTTTGTGCAGAGGAGTTTATTACAGGAACTTGCAGCAATGTCTCTTTACTATGTCATCCATGACAAGGCCCAATCTTTATGAGCCCTGAAAACTGAATTACTGCAATAAGAATTATGGAATAATGCCTCTTTAGTGAGTATACATAACTACCTATATAATAATAGATGCAGGCACACCCATATATCTATATATTAAAATTTCATTAGTATTAATAATAATTGGTTACCTATTGAGAGCTTTCTATGTGCTAAGCACTGTGCTAAGTGCGTAACATACTGAATCTCATTTAATTATCACAATAGTCCTAGAAAGTAGATACCCTCATTAAAACCCCATTTTACAGAATAGGAAATTGAAGTTTAAAGATGTTACATGTACATGCAATTCAAATCCAGGTTGGTCACACTAAAAAGCCTGCACTCATAATTGCCAGGCTCTGAAGCATGTTTGGAGTATAGTCTGTTTCCAAAGGAAATACAACTTTGCCACTTTCAAGTATGTGGTTTTGTAATTGTACACACTCTCTTTTGTTGCCAGAAAGTATCCTGATGCCTAATGTGTCACATCCATTCAGGGTATTTATTCATTCATTCATTTGATAAATATTTATGTAGTGCCTACCCTGTACCAGATATGGTTCTAGGCACTGAGTGAGGGGGTGGGTGGGGTGGGAGACAGTTGGATGGTGACAAAATAAACAATGTGTGTCATAAATAAGGATATTGTTAGAAGGTGGTAAGTGCAATATGAACAAGAAAGAGCAGAACAGAACATGGTGGAGAAAAAGTGCTACTGTATATGTTTGAGGAGCCCATATGATCATACAGCAGTTTTTTTGTTTGTTTCGTTTTTTGTTTTTAAGATGGCATCTCGCTTTGTCGCCCAGGCTGGAGTGCAGTGGTATGATCTCAGATCACTGCAACCTCCGCCTCCCAGGTTCAAGCAATTCTCCTGCCTCTGCCTCCCAAGTAGCTGGGATTATAGGCACTCACCACCACACCTGGCTAATTTTTGTATTTTTAGTAGAGACAGGGTTTCATTATGTTGGACCAGGCTAGTCTCGATGTCATGACCTCAAGTGATCCACCTGCCTCAGCCTCCCAAAGTGCTGGGATTACAGGTGTGAGCCACCACGCCCAGCCAGCACAGTTTTGTATATGTTATTGAAGGGAAGTTGCATAATTTGAACAGAGAAATGAAGAGAACTGCAGGGCTTTGGGCAGAAGGATGCTCATGATCTGCCTTTCATACTGGTTGCCAGTGTGAAGAATGACATGGATTTGCAAAACAGAGGGTTGTAAGTAAGGACAGCCATTGGGATTAGAGAATAGAATAAAGCCAACTGTCTCTCCAAGAATTAAGTGCTTATGTACATGGGCTCATTCAGTCATGTGAGGCAAGAGGCAGGCTTTTATCATCACCTCCTAATTCTTCCCCTGGCTTAAGGTATCTATACCTTTTATTTTAGTCCTAGGCACATCTGGAAGTACAATTGTCTAGAAGGGAGGGGGCACATTCAAGAAATCAGAGGCATTTATTCAGCCTAATTCTTCTACAGCGAAAATGGCCTATATCTTTTCTTATTAGCCCAGTGCACATCTGAAGAGAATTTCTTGGGAGTATCACTGTCTAGAAGGAGAGCTCTCAAAGCGAACTTTTAAAAATGTTAAAATGTGATTGGTAAGCACATGGGGCATTCTTAGAAAGTGATACCCTGATGAGGTGCCCTCAGCAGGAACTGAGCCTCCCTCTTTCTCTCAACCTTTTACAACCAGAGGGTAGCAGTAAATTTTTTTGGGGGGGGATAGAGGGACAATTGGGCAAATTTGTATTCAGACTTTCATCATAAAACTAGAGGGTCAAGAGATCCGGATTAAATTAAATGATTTGACTGTTCTAAGCCAATTTTCTTATTTGTAAAAGAAAAGCAATAGTGCAGTACCCAGTCTTACTGTGAGGAATCAGTTAATAAATGTGAAAGTTTTGCAAACTCTAAGGCACCATAAGACATGAGATGTAGTGATTGTCTAGTTGTTTTCACTGTTGCGTTATTTTTGTAAAATATCCATTACCATATGATCTACTTTCTTGACTCCAGATTTCTTCCTATATCAATGTGACTGTCTTTCATTTTCCTCCACTTTCTTCAATTGCTACATTTTAAGTTTGGGCCGTCTTTCAGCCTGGAAATTGCCCTGCATTTCCTAAGTTTGAAAAGAGAGCAGAGTGCAGTCTTCAGGCACCAAGCCTGGGGAAGAAAACTTGGGTTGGAAACTTTAGTTCTACCATGTGTACTTTAATTCTACCACATGATGTGGCTACATTACTTCATATCTTGGAGCCGCAGTTTTCATATTTAAGGTACAGTTAAATATGCACCAAATGGTGCTGAGGATTAGGTGAGAAAAACCATTGTAAAGTATCTCGCACAGCATCTGACCTATGGTGTGTACCTAGTAAAGGCTAAATCCCATTGTTCTCCTTCGTTTTTATTAGGTATAGAATTCTGAAGAGATTAAACAAGATGTAGGAGTTACCGAGGCCAATTAGAAGTCAGGAGGAGACAGTTAATTCATTGGAGGAAGAAAATGAGCGGGGGAAGATTCAGTGAGTTGACTAGAAGGAAGAAAAGGGGGAAGAGAAAATGGGTAGATGATGAGAGAAAGGAAGAATCACCTCTGTCAGATGTGAGTTATCTCTCCTTCCATAGACGACTAAAAGAGACCATGGGTTCAGCCCTACCAATCCAAGGTTTCTAAAAAATAACCCTTTTCATCAAAAAGAAATTTCGTATCTTTCTCTTCCAAAACAATGTTCACAGACTCACACCATTGGAAACACTCATTTGTCTTTGCACACTGTCAGCTTTTATTTACGCTCATATCTTAAAATACTTTCCCCAAATCTTAATTGACAAAGAGAATCACAGTTCTGTAGCTGAGTCTCAAGGCTTCCGTTAGAGTCAGCCGGGCCGGTGTGGAAAGTGAAGGAGCTCTCGAGCAGGAATCCCTAGGCATTCTGTTCTTGGCGAAATGCAGCTTCTCTTTTACTCTTCTCAAAGTCACTCTGTCTTCATTGTTTAAAGAAGAGTTTTTCCCCCTGTATAATTCAGGTTGACTCTTAACTTCTTATTTTTCTTTTCATTCTATAGGCAAGCTTTACAAATCCTGCTTTTATTTTTGGAAAGGCTGCATTAACAAATATTTGATTACTTAGTTCGCAAAACAGTCAAGGGCCTGTTGAGAAATCTGAGCTCAACTTGTAGGCTTAATTAGTTGGTTAAGGGTAAAAATTTCATTTGAATCCTTGTTAGACCCTGATTTTCATTTTTATTACATTCATTTCTTTTGGAGCCCCATACTTATCTCCTCAATCACAGAGGCTGTTTATGTTTATGTGAGAAATAGACCTTATGTATGTGGCAATCAGAGAAATGCTAAGAAGGTAATCATATAAATGGTAGATCAATATTGGTTTGCTGGGTTAAAAATTTTTCATAGCTTTTATTTTTCCAGGATGAGAGAAAAGTCATCACGTTCCTCTTCCCACTTTCCCATAGAACTTTAACCTTTACCTTTATAGAAAGGGCCCTCATCATACACTCCATGCCAGACACTTAACAACGTTTTCCAAGTAAAAAAAATTACATGACAAATGAAATGAAAAGAGCACATTGATGTTGCCCTGAAATCCCCCAAGATTCATTCCCAGTCTGATAGACAAGAGATTCTTTCCGTGGAATGATTCCTGGGCAAGCAAAGACACGAGCAACTTTCACGTCTGTTCATTCTCCAAAGCCATTGTCAAGCAAAAAATGTGTTCACATCGTACAGCACAGATTCTCAGCATGTAACTCTACTCACCTAGATCAGGCTGTATGCCTTAATGGGGGAGGCAGATAAATCTAGAGTGTCACAGTAACAGTGTGAGCCCCTCACCATGGGGAGATAGGAGGCAGGGAGAACCAGTTTACCTAGTAGGATCACGATGCACAGAAGGATGGCAACCAGAGCCCCCGTGCTCAGTCCCGTGGGGTGGATGAGCGCCTCCGCATGGCAGGACTGCATGTTCCCATGGTGGTCACATGCACAGACCCGGACAGTCACTGTCCCAGTGCTGCTTTGAACTGGGTAGTCGTTGTCTGAAATGACTACAGGCAAGAGATAGGTGCTCATCTCGTGTCTATTATAGCCATTTTTCCGAGTTAAGATTCCCGCCGTGTTGTCTGGAATGGAAAGCAAAGTGGTGAATGTATGTGGATACAGTGTCATGTATTGAATCAACTGTGATGGGAAAAGATAGAGATACAGATATACATATGCATACAGATACAGGTATGGATATAGATGGAGCTAGAGAAGGTAACTTGAACTCATTTACCTTTGTTGTCTTGAATGGTAAAGTTTGAGCCACTGGCTGCTTCAGGGGCCAAAGAAAATGAAAAGTGGTGTCCACTATAAGGGTCATCCTTGTCAACAGCACGTAGGGTCTGAATCAACTAAGAGAAAAACCAGAATGCCGCCGTAAAGTTTTGATAACTCAAAAGTGCTTCTTACAATTTTGTAATAAATTGCTTGACAAAATGATTTGAAATTTTAATTACCGAAATGATAGCCTCTAAGTCATGTGCAGTGAATATGTTTTATTATGGGCTAGAAAACCAAAAGGCAAGGGACGACTCTGTGGTGGGGATGGATGTCCAGGGTGTTCAGCAGCAACTCTGGCCTCTACCCACCAGATACCACTAGCACCGTCTAGTGTGACAATCAAACTCTCTCAAGATACTGAAAATTTCCCCAGGGAGGAAATCACCATGATTGAGAAACATCTGGCCTTGAGTGATGCCAAGCTATAAAATTTCCCAACAGTCTTTTAACAACACTGAAACTTCACAGAGTCGAAGTGCTCTTTGGACAGTCTGTTTAGAAAGGCACTCTTAGCATTACATAAGCTATCAACTTGCAAAAAACAAAAAAGGAAATGAGTGTATAGAACTTGGCAACCGGCTTCCTACTTGCACGTGTACTTTAACAGTGTACTTGGATTTTAATAAACTGAAACATGATTTTTATGTCACTGGCAGCAAAGACCTATTTCATGTGGGGACAAATGTGTAAAACGGTAAAACATTCATGAATTTGTATTACTTATACAGATGGTCAAAGTAAATAAGTGCAATTATGAATTATAGGCCATTATAAAGTATTTCTAGTTATTACTTCAAGTACATATGGTAATTAAATGATCTGTTCACCAATACAGATTTTTCCAATAAAGCTGTGACTAATCTATTTTAATGAAAACTTGAGATTGGTTTGGAATCAGCATCAGTCTTTGATGAACTTCCAGTTCTTCAAAACTGTTAGTTCTCATATGTAAGTCCTGGTTCTTATTTATAGCATTAATTTCCGTAGCATTCACTTCATAGATAATTCACAACTCTCCTTCAGCCCTGTGAATCATCTGAATGATTAGAAGATCTAAATTAATCTTTCAACTTGAATGTACTTTTTAATGAAACTCACCTGATCTGCCTTTGCTTTTTCACAGACAAAAGTTTCATAGAATTCTGCAAATTCTGGGGCGTTGTCATTGACATCTAGAACTTTAATATATAGAGGTACTCGGCTACTTTGCTTTGGATTATCTGTCACATACCAAAAAGAAAGAAAAAGGCATTTACATATTGATTGTCGACATCCACTCAGCTCCTTCATTCTCATTCATGCACGGATTCCCCAAGCTGCTGTACTACCAGGCATCATCAAGTACCAGCGTGGTCACAAAAAGCAGAATTAGATTGTTTGGTACATCTGAAGTTGGATACACATGTTGAAGTTAACCGGGGGACAAAGCTACTTGTGTTGACATAGTTCAACTGCATAATAAACCTTAAGGTAACACAAAACCAAGAAAGGCATTTTAGAGGTAGATTTTCAAGGAAGCAGGCAGATGGGGAGCAGAGGGACAGAGGGAAAATGAATGAAACAGCAGAAGACCAAAGAATAGTGATCGATCTTAGTGTTTTAGTTCGAGTGCTGAGTGAGAGGGAGATGTCATGCTAAACCCTTTGCTATATGATGTTATTTAATTCTCACAAACTTCTGAGGTAGACAGAGTTACTGCCCCCATTTTGTAGATGAGGAAACTGAGGCATGGAGAAGTTAAGTAATTTATGTGTGTTTCCAGAGACAGTAAAGAGTGAAGTTGGGTCTGTCTGACTCCAAGCCCAGCTGAAAGCCCAGGCTGTTCATCTGGATTTAATGATAGAGCGGAATCAATGTTTGCAGACCTGGACAAATGAAGGATTTTGGTTTCTTTCTGTGATAATCTTCTAGCACAGTATGGAAGACAGATTCCTGGTGTAAGAATTAAGAGTTAGAATCTATCAACTCAGGTCTCTTAATTTACTTCACTAGTATGTCTATTTGTTTTTTCACTTGGTAAGTACTTAGTGAGCATCTAATACCTAATATATAGCAGCCTCTATTGAGATGCTAGGGCACGTAGGAAACATAACAAAGATCCTGTTTCCTGGAGCTCTATTCTAATGGGGATAGACAAACCATAAACACATCAGCATATAATGTGTCAGATGGTAAATGCTATAGAGAAATTAAGCATGGAAAAATGATTGAGATAAATAGAGGTGCTACTTAGAATGATGACAGAGGACTGCTTCTCTGATGAGACATTATTTGCCCAGAGACGTGAATGAAGAGAAGGTTTAAGCCATGTGAATATTTCTGGCTTTTCTGGTAGAGGAATCAGTATATGCAAAGGCCCTGAGGTGAGCAGGAGCTGGTTTTATGAAAGCCTTTGGTTTCTGTTATATCAAATGTTGTTAAGAAGATTAGACAGTAAGATTCTTTAAGATCACTTGTGTCTAAAATTTTACTCACACTGTTCTTCAAAAGTTAGAGCAGCTGAATATTAACTTTTAAGAGATCTGAGTCACTAATACTTTAAATGTGTCATAGAAACATTAAATCTTAAAAACAAATTTTTAGTCACAAAGCTTAAAATACTTCTGAAAAACTACTTTGGTAAAAAATCAAATTTCATGGTCTTAATGGTCCTTTTCAGTGGAAAGTAATTTTATAATTTAAAATCTTTAAAGATGCTCTGTCTTTGGTATCCACACTCATCCCTTAACATAAATTAACATAAACTTCAAGCTAAATCTTGACATAAATTCTAAAGAACAAATTCCTAGCTTATTTCTAACGCACTGTCCTTATCACTATCTAAAAATAACGCTTCATTTTGCCCATATTGGTTACTATTCTAACAAATATCCTTTAGCCACTTCAAATCTCATGAGGTATCCTGACAGAAAATACAACTGCAGTAAACTGTTCAACATGGAATATTTCACACTAGATACCCAAAGTGAGCTAAAAATGTTTAGAACTTTTAAAATTAAACACAAAAGCTAAAAAGTGAGCTATAATTTAGAAGCCTATTTTTAAACATTTTTTAAATGTTTAAACTTTTAAACTTCTATTTTAAAGATCATTTTCCACTTATGTTCTTGAGTCTGCACATTGTATTTACAATGTACATTAGTTTTCATTGTGTGTAATCACTTTATTTGAAGCATTCTTTTGGCACTATTGTTCTTTGCCTTCAGTTTCATGGGGCTACCATAAAATTCATCCTAATCATTTTATTGATTACTTTGTAGTTTATATTACTCACTTTAGTATACCATGGAAAAGTGATAATTTATCTCTTAATTCTATAAAGACTTTGAAATAGAAATTCTACAGTGAGCTAGAGAATTGATATCTAAAAACTTTCTAAACAATGCCCACATTTTGCAATATACCTGACCCCTCTCCTCTTTTGCTCCCCACGCAATGTCTAATTGAGAGTCTGTTTTTCTGCAGCTGTTTATGTAATGTTCTAATTTATAAGCTTTTTGGAATTAAATCCATCAAGTACCAATTCAGTCTCATTTGTGAGATACATTCCCATTATATTGTTTCCAGGTTGCAGAACTTCCATGGTTGCCTCTCCATTTATGAATGAGCCAATGTATGTCTAGAAGAGGCATTGCTGGAAATCACTCCAGGGCTCTTTCCCTCAATATATATGTTAAGTAAGATTGTCAGTACATGGTGATAAGCTATGCTCCCCAGGCCTTGCTGGGACACTCACTCATTCTATCAATGGGGACAGCAGTGGTATTAGGTAGGACTTACTGATCTCTGTTGCTATCACTGTAATGTTGTGCCATAGCAGTGTTTCTCGGTCAAGAAGTTTCGATGTAAAAATGGAACCATTTCCAGAATCAATGTTGAATATTCTGTCCATATCTGTGTGTCGATCAACAGAGTACCTGAAAATGCAGAGTGGAATTAAGAAAGGCTTTTCCTTCTATTTCCTATTCCCACATCATAGAACACCGTAAAACATCTGGGACACATCATGTCCCAGAATATCTGTGGCATGGATTGTTTTTCTATCTCTAGTGCATATTTGAATATCTACAACTTGACATTAAGTAAAATATTTTGAGAAATTAGCTCTTTACAATGGAGGTCTTAATAGTAAACTCACTACATTAGACAAGTTGCATGATTTTGAGCGTCACCATTAAATTTCTTTTCTACTATGTATAAATTTGAATCAAGTTTATATAGTAATTGTTTCATTTTTAACTCAAGTTTTTACAACCTGAGGACTTCAATATACGTGTGTGTGTGTGTGTGTGTTTGTATGCATATGTGGAGTGTTGATTATTTTCTACTCTCCATTTAATTTAAAAAACCTTCTGTTGAAATAAATAAAAGATGGCTAGTGTGGCCAAGGTTAGTAAGGCAGAAGAGGGAGATAGGAGACGAGATTGGGGAGACAGCCAGAATCTAGACTGCAGAAGAAGGCTGTGGTGAGGAATTGGGATTTATTCTTTTTTTTTTTTTTGAGATGGAGTTTCGCTCTTGTTGCCCAGGCTGGAGTGCAATGGCGTGATCTTGGCTCACCACAACCTCCGCCTCCTGAGTTCAAGCAATTCTCCTACCTCAGCCTCCCGAATAGCTAGGACTAAAGGCACATGCCACCACGCCCAGCTAATTTTTGTATTTTTAGTAGAGATGGGGTTTCACCTTGTTGACCAGGATGGTCTCGATCTCTTGACCTCATGATCCACCCGCCTCGGCCTCCCAAAGTGCTGGGATTATGGGCTTGAGCCACCATGCCCAGCCGGAATTGGGATTTATTCTAAATGCAATGAGAATCTAACAAAGGGTTTTCGTTTGTTTGTTTGTTTTGAGATGGGGGTCTCACTCTCTCACTCTGTCACTCAGTCTGGAGTGCAGTGGCATGATCTTGGCTCACTGCTTGACCTCCCAGGCTCAAGCGATTCTCCCACCTTAGCCTCCCGAGTAGCAGGGACCACAGGTGCGTGCCACCATGCCCTGCTAATTTTTGTATTTTTTTTGGTAGAGACAGGGTTTCACCATTTTGCCCAGGCTGGTCTTGAACTCCTGAGCTCAAGTGATCCCCCTACCTTGGTCTCCCAAGGTCTTGGGATAACAGGCCTGAGCCACCACACCTGGCTACAGAGGGTTTTAAGCAGGGGAGTGCCACAATCTAAATCATGGTTAACAAAAATCACTGTTTAATTGAGGAGAATGGTTGTGCGGTGCTGCCACAAACAGAAAGAAGAGGAGTGAACAGTAAGATTCCGGGAAGATAGGTAGGCTCCATTTTTGATAACTAGGCTGAGGTGCTTGAGTGAAGTCTGGGAAGAGATATCTAGTATGAAGCTCAAGATTAACAGCTGGACTGATCCCAGATTTCCATTCAGCTATCTAAGAAAAGAATGTCCAGTGGAGGAAGAAAAACACTAAAGACAGAATCACTTACATCACTTAAATCAATGGGAGACCAGAGACACACAGTGGTGCCTGGAACCGACTAGGAACTTGATAAATATTTAAAAAGGAGAGTTTGAATAAATTCAAGGGAACCCAAGAGCAGCATTTTGGAAACCAAGCATTCCAACCCTAACACTGGCGGAAGACAAGTGGATTTTGAGAAATGCTGTCTTACTTATAAATGTATTACTAGTTTTTAGAATAGCTATGTGACATGGGTTGGCTCTGTGTCCTCACCCAAATCTAATCTTGAATTGTAATCCCCGTATGTCATAGGAGGGGCCTCATGGGAGGTGACTGTATCATGGGGGCAGACTTCTCCCCTGCTGATCTTGTGATAGTGAGTGAATTCTCATGAGATCTGATGGTTTAAAAGTGTAGTGCTTCCCCTTTACCTTTTGCCATGATTAAAAATTTTTCTGTGGCCTCCTAGCCATGCTTCCTGTATGGCCTGTAAACTGTGAGCTGATTAAATCTCTTTTCTTCATAAATTACCCAGTCTCAGATAGGTCTTTATAGCAATGTGAGAATGAACTAATACAAAAAATTGGTACCAGGAAAGTGGGGCATTGCTATGAAGATACCTACAAATGTGGAAGCGACATTGCAACTGGGTAATGGGCAGAAGTTGGAAGAGTTTGGTAGGGCTCAGAAGAAGAAAGAAAGATGTGAGAAAGTTTGGAACTTCCTAGAGACTTGTTGAAAGGTTTTGACCAAAATGCTGACAATAATATGGACAATGAAGTCCAGGCTGAGGAGGTCTCAGATGGAGATGAGGAACTTGTTGGGAACTGGATTAAAAGTCACCCTTGCTTTGCTTTAGCAAAGAGACTGGCAGTGTTTTGCCCCTGCCCTAGAGATCTGTGAAACTTTGAACTTGAGAGAGATGATTTACGGTATTTGGCAGAAGAAATTTGTAAGCAGCAAAGGATTCAAGAAGTGATCTGGCTGTTGCTAAAACTGTATGCTCATATGTGTGAACAAAGAGATAATCTGAAGCTGGAACTTATATTTAAAATGGAAGCAGAGCATAAATGTATGGAAAATTTGCAGCCTAACCATGTGGTAGAAAAGAAAAATCCATTTTTTGGGGAGGAGTTCAAGCCTGCTTCAGAAATTTCCATAAGTAAAGAGGAGCCAAATGTTAATAGCCAGGACAAGGGGGAAAATGTCTTCAGGGTGTTTTAGGGACCTTGATGGCAGTCCCTTCCCTCACAGGCCCAAAGGCATAGGAGGGAAAATTTGGTTTCATGGGCAATGCCTAGGGCCCAGCTGCTCTGTGCAGCCTTGGGACATGGCATCCTGTGTTCCAGCTGCTCCAGCCCCAGCTGTGGCTAAAAGGGACCAAAGTATAGCTCAGGATGTGGCTTCAGAAGGTATAAGCCCCAAGCCTTGGTGGCTTCCACATGATGTTGGGCCTGAAGGTGTGCAGAAGGCAAGAAGTTGAGGTTTGAGAATCTCCACCTAGATTTCAGAGGTTGTATGGAAACGCCTGGATGTCTAGGCAGAAGTCTGCTGCATTGGTGGAGACCTCAGGGAGAACATCTCCTGGAGCAGTGTGGAGGGAAAATGAGGAGTTGGAGCCCCCACAAAGAGTCCCCACTGGGGCACTGCCTAGTGGAGCTGTGAGAAGAGGACCACTCTCTTTCAGACCCCAGAATGGTGCATCCACCAACAGTTTGCACCATGAGCCTGGGAAAGCTGCAGGCATTGAATGCCAGCCCATGAAAGCAGCCTCGGGGGTTGTACCTTGCAGAACCACAGGAATGGAGCTGTCCAAGGCCATAGGAGCCCATCCTTTCTATCAGCATGCCCTAAAGGTGAGACATGGAGTCAAAGGAGATTATTTTGGAACCTTAAGATTTAATGACTCTCCACCTGGATTTCAGACTTGCATGGGGCCTGCAGCCCCTTCGCTTTGGCCAATATCTCCCTTTTGGAATGGAAACATTTACCCAATATCTGTACCCTCACTGTGTGGAAGTGACTAACTTGTATTTTATTTTACAGGCTCATAGGCTGAAAGGACCTGCCTTGTCTTGCATGAGACTTTGGACTTCGACTTTTGCGTTAATGCTGGGATGAGTTAAGACTTTGAGGGACTGTTGGGAAGACATGGTTGGTTTTGAAATGTGAAAAGGACATGAGATTTGAGAGGGGCCAAGGGAAGAATGATATGGTTTGGCCCTGTGTCCCCACCCAAATCTGATTTCGAATTGTAATCCCAATATGTTGGAAAAGGGACCTGGTCAGAGATGACTGAATCATGGAGCAGACTTCCCCCTTGCTGTTCTTGTGATAGTGAGTGAGTTATTATGAGAGCTAATGGTTTAAAAGTGTGTGGCATTTTCCCCTTCCTTTTCCTTTCCTCCTTCTCCTATGATTGTAAGTTTCCTGAGGCCTCTTGGTCATGCTTCCTATACAGCCTATGGAAATGGGAGTCAATTAAACCTTTTCATAAATTACCCAGTCTCAGGTAGTTCTTTACAGCAGTATAAAAATGAACTAATACACTATGTTTATGAGCAGGGTGGGAGTGGGATATTACAGAGAAAATGGAAGAAAGTTGATATGTTAAGGCTATTAAAAAATTGCCCATTTCAGCTGGACTTTTAAAACTTTATGAGGTTTAAAAACATTGCCTCAGTAGAAATTCAGTGTAAGTAAATGATCTAACTAGGCAGACATATGTGGAATTATTATGAGTGTGCTAAGAAAAATAAATCCTTGTTACTAATTTGCCACAGTATATCACGTCTAAGATTCTACTTGAATATATTATTTTGGTTTAAAACATGAGTAGAGAATTATAATGAACAATATATTTTAACTTCATAAAATTTATTTTTGTCATCTAGTGAGTGTCTAAATAAAATAGATACTCAATTTTCATAGGACATTTAAACCTGATTTTAAAGAGAATTAATGAAGTTCACAATGGGTGTAATGCCAAGTTGAATCTGAATTTCAGTTTCAATGTATATGAACTTATGTTTTTATTATCAAAAGGGTTAAAACAAACAAAACAGCTACAGTTTTGCCATTTGTGTCATGAATCAAAATTTATTAAGAACTTAGGCAACAGTATTATGCTTACTGGATCACTTCTTATTTTAAATTTGAGAATGATAAATATTTATAGCACATAATTACAAAAAGGAAATCTCAATATTCATAGACTGTAAAAAATTTAATAATTATCTACATACTTTTTTTTCTCATGGAAATGCTAAGCTTAAGATGTGCTGCTTCTATAAGCTGTTACAATTATATACAGCAATAATCTTGTTTTGTTCTTTGTGTCTTTTCCTCCTGCTGTAGTTTTAAATTTTACAAGTAGTCATATTTTCCTATCAAGCCTTGACATAAAGGATAAGAGTGAGAATTTTTAGTTGAAGGCAGCTTTCAATTTGAAAGAGAAAGTAACTATTTAGAGAATACCAAAATTATATTTTTTCCTTTTGTTGGGACACTTAAAAATTAATAGAAAATCTAAAATGTCCACATCATTGAGGGAAAATGCATGTACACAAAGCCTTGATTGTTTGTTGCTTTTTCTTTCCAAGGTAGTTTAAATTTATATCAAGGATATTTATTGTCCAGTCACATTACTTGTAACTATCACTAACAAGAAACAAGATAATCAATCCCATCATGATTGTAGCAGATCCTTCTGCTAGGTAGCTCTTTTTTTTTTCTAGGACTTCATTGTATTCTGTGATTAAATAATTTGTTTTCTAATATATCCTCAAATCAGGAAGATTTGTGGTTCTTCCTGGAAAAAAGGTGTGTTTGCACAAATTTTTCATAATTTGTATTTATAGTGACATATTATAAGATTCTTTCACAGAAACCAAAGGGAATTTGAGATGAAGTTATTAGAAGAAAATAATTTTATGTGATTAAAGAATTAAAGATTTGTGCCTGTGTAATGATAAATCAGTGCTCTGGGGAAGAATTCTTTAGTGTTAATTTTGCACCCAACATATTGTCTAGCACTTAGTTGTTCAACATTTATGTCTTGAATAATAAAAAACTATGTATGAATGTACTTTTCTAATATAAGATTGAATTTTATCCTATAAAAGGACACTGGAATATCATTTATATACATATACATATGTACGTGCGTGTGTGTGTGTGTGTATATATATATATATATATATATATATATATATATGTATTTCTAGTCTTAAATCTATATCTATGTATCAAATCCATATGTACCAAGGAAAGGCTGGCAGCGAAAAACTTAAAAATTAGCTGACAGCCAACATAATCTGACAAGCTAACTACTTTCTTTCACAAAACAGAAAATAATGCCGTGGGTAAAATGGTATTTGGTCTAAAAAGTAATATAGATATGAAAATATAGCCTGAATTCACAGAACATTCTCTCTTTTAATTAAAAACATGTTGGTCTACCAAGGAGATAACCAAAGCTTATATTTGTAAACTTCCAGCATTAACACTTTCAAATTGAATTTGATACTTGCTAAGATTTATTTTCCTTGTATAGTTACAACAAACTCCAAGTGAGAGAGTAGTTGTGAAAGTACTTACATTATTTGTGCCATATTAGTGAAAACCATCATTCATTTTCCTTATTAATAATATTAAATGTATGTGGAGAAACACTTGATCCATGGAGCCCACATGTGGCTACCCTGGGTTGACCATAGCCCAATTCAAAGTGTTATATAGATATTCCAGTAGGATGATAAGAGTTTATTTGCCCAGTGATTTAAAACTGTTCCCTGAAAGTAAGCCAGGCTTTTTTTGTGTTTGAGATGTGGGGCTTGTCATGAGGTTTCATTTGAACAAAGGGCTCAACTGGGAAAAAGTTAGAAAATGATGGCTGCCTTAAAGTCCCAAGTTCTTTTATCTTCAATAAGCTTCTTCATGCAGCAGCCAGTGTTATCCATTTAAAATGGAGTTTTAGGTTAGGTAACTCTTCTACTCAAAGGTTTCCAGTGTCTTCTTATCTCAATCAGAATAAAATCCAGTCTTTACTATGAACTACAAAGCCCTACAGTCCCTGCCACACTCACCATCAGCTATCACATCTCTCTGGTGCCTCATACCCGACATCGCCTCCCTCGCTCACTCTCTTCCCACTGTGGAGGCCTCCTCGCTACTCTTTCAACTGTTGAGCAAGCTCTGGTATCAGACCTTACCCTTGCTTTTCTCTCTTCTTGGGATGCTGTTCCCCTAGGTATGGATATGGTTCACCCTTTAATTTCATTCAAATCTTCACTAAATAGTTCCCTACCAAGAATGCCAAACCTGACCCCATTATCTAAAATAGTACTCCAGATGCTCTTTATTTCCTTATTCTGCCTTATTTTCCTGCTTAAATTTTTGTTTTTGGTCTAGCATAAAATTCCATAGACATGTTTAAAATTTACTTTTGCCTAATATATTACGTATTTTTTGTTTGTCTATTTCTGTCTGCCCCAATTAGACTGTAAGCTTCATGGGATCAGGGATGTATGTATTCCCTAGTGCCTAGAATGTACCTGGCACTTGGCTGGCACCCTGACTAGAATCTATGTGTGAACTCATGGCAAGAGTTTCTCTAGTTTTTCAGTCTGCTGACTTTGTTTATGGGGAGTAATTGACACAATGCTGTTCTGGTGCAGCGCTTTTCCTCTTGAACTCCTGACCTCAAGTGATCTGCCCACCTCAGCCTCCCAAAGTGCTGGGATTACATGAGTAAGCCACCGTGCCCGGCTAGAACTTTTCTCATTTAGTCAACTAAGTTACTGGCTGAAGGCTGGAGGTTGGTTGACGCCAGCATTTTCCTGTTAAGATTCTAGAATACTGAAGCATCGGTGGTCCCAAAGAGCAATAGGTCTTCTCGCAAGATGATTTACAACTAAGACGTAAGGAAAGCACAGGGAAAACAGAACTAGTTTACATAGCATAAATTTGGATTCTTTTCTATTAATTTCCCTAGGATTTCACAGGCATAGATCATGAAATGATTCTTATTTTTATCTACATCTGCAAAAGGAAAAATGCATCCAAGTAGAGGATAATTCTGTCTCTTAGGGTTACACGATAGGTTTTTCTACACTTGAAAAACAGACTCTCAAGCCCAGAACCTGGTTTGTTAAAAATCATACTTTTTCTACACCACTCTTTGACAAATCTTAAACTTAAAAAAATCTCAAATCTTGAAAAACAATCCCAGGGCATTCAGCTGCATCACCTTATACGATTTCTGCTTAAGCAGTAAATTCCGTATAGCTTGCTGTCTTTCCCAAATGTGTGTTTTTTTTAAGGTTTACATAGTTGGCCCTGTGTATCCACAGGTTCTGCAACTGTGGATTCAACCAGCTACAAATCAAAAATGTTTGGGAAAAACAAAAAGGAAACAATCAAAAATAATACAAATAAAAACATCAAGATGATAACTATTTACATAGTATTTTCATTGAATTGGTACTCTAAGTAATCTAGAAATGAATAAAGCATAGGGGAAGATGTACTTTGGTCATGTACAAATCTGTGCCATTTCATATAAGGAACTTCAGGATTCGTGAACTTTAATACGGAGTTGGGCCTGGGGAACCAATCCCCCAGGGATAACAGGGGACTACTGTACTCTGCCAAAATCATATTTATGCAGTGAGCAAAGAGAGTTAAAGGTGCTTTTAGAATAGTTTTTCAGGAGAAACACAAGTGTCTAATTGGAAAAAAAAGGGATTCATCTTTTCTAAAGTGCAGGTATTTATTTAAACATAAATTGACCGAAGCTTATAAAAGAGACACGTTGCAGAAGTGTGCTTACTTGACAGGATTCCTGACAGCGTCTGGATCTTGGGCTGCGACAGAGCCTATTGTGGTGTTTATCTGAGCATCTTCTCTTATTTGTAGGATGTAGGCCAGTTTGCTGAAGACGGGAGGCTCATCTACATCCTCCACCACAATTCTAACCGTGGCTGAATCTTTGAAAGGCCCCAGGTAGAGAAATCGTGGCTCAACATGAGGATTGGAGGCTTCCACTTTAAGGGTATACACTTTCTTCTTTTCAAAGTCCAAGAGCTTGGGGTGGGGGAGTGGGGGAAGAAGTGACATATTTAAAGCAACCAAGACGCAGAAAGCCAATACACAAAACATTTTTGGTGTAAATCACTGATAAATGAATGTGATCATGTTGCTTAGAGAAACACATTAGTGTGATATTGGAAGAAGGCAGAAAAGATAAGATGTAATTTTTTTTTTTTTTTTTTTTTTTTTTTTTTTTTTTTTTTTTTTTACATCTAGGCTGTTAGGCAGGAAATGATTATAAAATCTGTGAAGGAGTTTAGATTCCACATAGTCCTGAAAAATGTATGGGTTGAAATCATGCCTACTGTTGATTAAAAGTGGGTACTGAGGTGCAAGGCATAGTACCAGGAAGGAAGGGCACTTGGAAGCAGGAGTCTGGTAGAAGCCACTCTGTCCCCATTTAAAAAATCCTCATGTTTCACTGGAGGGGGGCCATCAGAGGCAAGTTGGCAAATATGTGGTGGGTTATTCCATGTCGGATGTTCTCACATCTGGCTTTAATTACTGATGAGTATTTAAAACTAGCCAATGTCTTGGCCCCACTCTGGACCATTAAACCAACATATCTGGGATTACCAATTAAAATCTAGATTATTAAACACTTTCCCTAGTGATTCTATGGTGCAGTCAGAATTGAGAGTCACAGGTTTGCATTGTGAATCCTTTGCCATCATTCAGACAACATAAAGTTTTTTATTTTTATTTTTTTGAATGAGGTAATGAAATATTCCAAATGGTAGCCTGATAAGGTCATTGGGCTAATTATTTGCCAAAGAAAGTAATGATCATTGTTGTCAAGGGTCTTTAGGAAAAGCAGCTTGTTTTGGAGACATGGTGAACCCAAATGCTTATTGCTGACTTTTAGTTTTAGATGATAATATGACAAGGCTCACTAGAAACACAATTAATCAAGATGTTAGTGAATGTGATTTAGTCGTCTAGGCAAAATTTCAGTTCAAATCTGATAAGGCACCAAGAAAATTAAAAAGGTTAATGCACCCTAATGGGCTTCCTAATTATATTATAGTATAAAACATTAGTCTGAGTGTCACTTAAACATGTTTTATTGTGTTTCCAGATATTAAGACACGTAATCCAAAGCTTGGGAGGAAAAAATATCTCATTATTCACATCCACCAATGCTTATATTTGTTAGAAAAGATAATAGTGTGCTAAAGGAGAGAGAAAATATTACACCATACATGATAAAAGTGAAATCATAACAATTTAACGAAAATCAATATTATTTTTAGTCTTGAAGCATACAATGTATTGGTTTTGAATTTTTGCCATACTTTTGTATACTGCTCTGTGGTACTAGGCAATTTGGGGGATAAAATAATGAATCAGTGCTTTGGAAAAAAATAGAAATCAGAACATAAAAGATTTATCGTTGTGTCCCAAAAAGTAGCTAAAGCAGTCACAGGAAGTTTATGGTATTTAATTTAAATTTGCGGTCTTTCTATATCCTCTTTCTGTGAGGCGAGTCATCTTGATCGCTGCTTGCTGTGCTCTTTTCCTTCACAGCGAGCGTCACAATTTGTAGTTATACATTTGTTTGTTTGGTTACTTGCCTCCTTGTCCCTTTCTGCCAAGACTGGAGGTTCCATGAGAGCAGAGAACATCAGTTGTATGTGCCAGTGCACCTCCAGCAACCAGAGCAGTGTCTGGCGCTGTTTGTTTATTGACTGCTCATTTAAAGTATTTACTTTACGCATTTTTTTTTTTTTTGAGACAGAGTCTTCCTCTGTCGCCAGGTGCCAGGCTGGAGTGCAGTGGCATGATCTCGGCTCACTGCAACCTCCGCCTCCCGGGTTCAAGCAATTCTCCTGCCTCAGCCTTCCAAGTAGCTGGGACTACAGACATGCACCACCACACCCAGCTAATTTTTATATTTTTTTAGTAGAGACGGGGTTTCACTATGTTGGCCAGGATGGTCTCGATCGCTTAACCTTGTGATCTGCCCACCTCGGCCTCCCAAAGTGCTGGGATTACAGGCATGAGCCACTGTGTCTGGCCTACTTTATGTATTTTTATGAATACCATTTATTTATATTACTTATTTAGTAGTTTCTTAATAAAAATTCATTGAATGTATAGAATTAACATGAATGCATATCATTTTAGACCCCTGAAAGCCAACCCAAGAGATCTCAGTGTCATTAGAATTGGCATTTTTTTTTCTTTCTTTTTTTTTGAGACAGAGTCTCTGTCACCTAGGCTGGAGTGCAGTGGCATGATCTCAGCTTAGTGCAGCCTCTGCCACCCAGGATTCAGCAATTCTCCTGCCTCAGTTTCAAGAGTAGCCAGGATTACAAGCACCCGCCACCACACCCAGCTAATTTTTGTATTTTTAACAGAAACAGGTTTCGCCATGTTAGTCTCAAACTCCAGGATTCAAGAGATTCTCCTACCTCAGCCTCCAAAAGTGCTAGGATTACAGGCAGGAGCCACCACGCCTGGCCAGAATTAGCATTTTTTTCTGAAAATAATAAGTAAAAAAAATCTAAAGGAAAGTTTATGTAAGATATAATTGCCCCTGGTAACTTGGGAACTGGAGAAAAGTAAATGCATTCACTTTGTATGATGTTTAAGAAGTGGCATTACCTTTTTGACAGTTATAATCCCTTCCTGGGTTTCCTGGTCGGTAATGACATCAAACATATCCAGCCCCTCACCATCTGTGATGCTATACTCAATTTCAGCGTTTTCTCCCACATCAGCATCGCTGGCTTTGATCCTGCCAATTGGTGTACCCGGTGGAGAAGATTCAGGAGTTTTAAACTGGTATGTACCTATTAATCACCAGACAGATATAAGTCAAACATGGACTAACTGTATTCTACCATCATAAAAACAAAACCCATTCTCTAACAGTTCTTTAAGACATTACCATCAGGTAGATTTCTGCTTTCCTCAAAATAACTAACGGTGGCCTGTTCCCCTTATGTCTTTACTTTCATGGTTGTTAAGACTATTTCTTCTTGACCTATCTCCTTGCAAATGAAGAACACTTTTTCTGTCCTGTAAACAGGCTCCTAAGTTTATGATGTGATTGTGAGAACAGCTGAACAGCTACAGGAGGCACAGAAGGTTCCGAAGCTGGAGGTGGAAAGATATTATAGCAAGTTGGAGGTTGTATCCAAGTAGCTATTCTTTTACTCATACATGGAGCTGGACCCAGCTGCAGAGTTAGAGATATAGGTAAATACATTACGTGATAAAACTTCTCATTTTTTTCTTTTGACTCTTTTAAATGTTATTACTATATTATTTTATGTATAGGTTTCTCTCTTTTCCTAGACAACTTTAAAGAAAAATATGCACCTGTGGCAAACTGAGTTTAGAGAGATTGCATATGAGTTCCAGTTTGCATCTGCCAGGTCACCATGTACTTCGCAATATCAAATGGTAAAACCAAAGCTTATTCTACCTTTTCCATGACATTTTCTCAACCATTCATACAAATGATTTGAAAAGAATTTAAGCATTCTGTGGCACTGCTGAAGTGTAGGCATTCAATAATAGTAATCTCCCAAGTATTGAGTTTATACTTGGTAAAATGATAAAGCAGGCTAAAAAGTTTTTTAAAGTTTTTTTGACTCAAGTACATGACTCAAAATGAGTTTGTGTGTGTGTGTGTGTGCATGTGTGTGTGTGCGTGCATGTGCATGTGTGTGTGGTGTGTGCATGTGTGCATGTGCGTGTGTTTGTGTGTGCATGTGTGTGTGTGCATGTGTGTGTGTGTGCATGTGTGTGTGTGCATGTGTGTGTGTGTGTGTGTGTGCGTGTGTGTGTGTGTGTGTGTGCATGTTGTTTTTTCTCCAGACAGGGTCTCGTCCTGCTGCTCAGGCTCAAGCAATGCTCCCACCTCAGCCTTCTGAGCAGCTGGGACTACAGGTGCATAGCGTCATGCCTGTCTAATTTCTTTTTACTCATAGACACAGGGTCTCGCTATGTTGCCTCGGCTGTGTTGAACTCTTGGCCTCATGTAGTCTTCCTCCTTCAGCCTCCCAAAGCTCTGGGATAACAGGTATGAGTTGGTGCGCCCCAGGTTAAGTATTTCTCTAGTGTTTTCAGCTTCCATTTTTAGGGCCTCCTGCCCCTTCGTATCTTCTTTCCCTTGCCTTAGCATATTGCTCAATAGCAAGTCACAGGCTATCTAAGCACAGCAGAGTGAATAACAAATCCCTGGGATACCGAGGTGTGAAGGGATCTGTGTTATTCTTCCCCAGGGAATCTCCACATTAACAAGGAGGTTTTTGGGCAAACCGTTGGTGACCCTCATAGTTTTCTTTTCTTTTCTTTTTTTTCATTATGAATACTTAAAAAAAATTTATTTATGATGCTTTAAGTTCTGGGGTACAAGTGCAGATTGTGCAGATTTGTTACAGAGGCCTGATAGTTTTCATTTCAGGCCTCTGTAAGGAAAATTCCAGGCCTCACAGAACCTTTCTTTTATTTGTTATATCAGATATTCCTTAATTAACTCTGATCTTTTTGCATTTACCTAACTGATGAAAAACTTGAAAAAATAAACAAAATAAAACTACTTCCTGTTGATCCATGTATATTTCTATTCTAAAGGAAGCCCATATTAGCTGATTAGTTTTTTAAAAATGCCGTGATAGAAAGAGTGGGTTTTCTGTATAATTGAGCTAGCTTTTGTAGGAGATGATGGTTTCAAAGGGATTTTGTTCCTAGAAGAAAAGTTACATTAAAACCAGTTCCTTGTTGGGTAGCTCTATGTGAGAGTTTTTAGCATACTCCTGAAACCACACTGGTATTCATGGATGTGGTTTTTTCCCTTCTTTCTTCTTATCTAATCATGAGAGTTAACGATTTTGGAGACAACTTTCGGTATCTCAACTAACCATAATGTAGAAAACGATTTATGATTACAAATGGATTAAGTACCTAGTTACTTCCACAGTTATATTTTTAGAAACAGTAAAATGATAAATCCTCCCCTTACAAAGCTTTGTGAGGATTTAAAAGAGATTACATGCCTGATTAAATTCACAGAACATAAAGTCAAATTTTTCCTAACAAATTGCAGCATGCTTGTATACATATGTTCTGCATGAGCAGATTTATGTCTGTGGTAGCTTTCTTAATAAGGAAAAATGAAACAATGACGTTGCCTTTATAACAACAGCAGAAATCACTCAGCTTATTACCAATAGAGGAATGTAAATGTTCACATTTCTGGAGTGCATGCCATGTTGGCAACTCATTTTTTAATAAAAGGGCCAGTTCTTCTTAAGTCCACTAACTTTGAAAATACTGATGACAATAGAAAATAAAAATTCTTAAAGTTCAAGTTTTATAAAAGCGCATTAAAGACACTCATTCAATCAAATGTGCCTACTCTGCGGGAATCGGGGAGGGTTGTCGTTGACGTCAGTCAGTGTGATGTTGACTGTGGTGGTCCCAGATAGTCCTCCCATCTGGCCGCCCATATCCTTGGCTTGAATCACCACTTGATACTGCTCCCTGTTTTCTCTATCCATGTTGAGCAAAGCTGTCTTGATAATACCTGTGGATGTGAAATTTAAGAGTCAAAAGGATGTATTAAGAATACTTTATGGAATCATTTATTTATGCAAACAATCATAAACTGTCACCCACAATACGCAAAACATTGTGCAGATGTCATGGTGATATAAAAATAATTACATGCAGTCTTTATCCTCAAGGATATTACAACCACACACAGGGGAGATAGATACATTTAAAAAAGCCTGTAATACGAGGAGAATAAAAATAGGTACAAGTTAGATGCTGCAACAGTATAGATTATTAAGGGTTATAAGACACTCAATATTATAATTACATTATGGATGTAAAGTGTTATAAGATGACACAGCAAAATCTAAAATGGCTTGTGGTATAAAGGTATACTACAATAGCTGCTTGATAAAAGACATTTAGGTGAATTATGAGGAAATTCTTAGGAAAGCCACATATTTGAACTGACTCTTGAGTTTCCCATTATGGATTGGCTAATTATCCCTCAAATATACCTACCATAATGAATGCTCTGAGGATTTTCTAAATTAGAAAATTATGGTCTTTGGAAAATATAACACCAGTTCTCTCACAATGATCAGCTTGTATGATCCTAGAGAATTTTGGAATTAAGATTCAAGGTCTTTCAGCCTTTTAGAATTCCTAAAGCCGACATGAACTTTAGTTCTACTGACCCCAATTGCAATCAGAATTTTTAAGTTAGGTTAATTTTGTTAGGTAGTTATAAAATAGTGAAAGAACTTCTAACCGTTTGCCCAGTTTCTATGTAAGGTTTATGCTTAAATTAACTTGCTTTCAAATTTCACTAGAGAAGTCTTTATAACCTTCTGCAGAAGCACAGTCTAGTGCTTAACAGCTAATGAAGCAAAAATAGCTTTTTAAAATTTTTAACAAGAATATCTCAGACAACAGGTCAATTTTATTCCTATAGTCCTGGCTTCAGTGAAAGTGCAGCTGCTTTCTGTTCTCCAAATAACAGTACTTCTCTATTTAAATACAGGAGATCACCTTAGCCTTTTGTCCTTTCAGTTGAATAATTCTAATTTTTCATCCTCATTGTTTTTCAACTCCACATTTTCTTTCTCCTTGGGGTTCTTTCCAAGTTCATCGCACCACTTAACATGGAGATTTCCAAGTGGATGTGGGAACCTAGAGAGGTTTTGCTTTCTACTGAGAATAATGGATGTTTTAAAAAGGCATAAAAGGAAATTGACTCATTATGATAAAAAAGTATAGAATTTACTAGACTGTAAAATCATATTTGCTAAAAACAAATCACTATAAGATAGGATGCTACTTTGTGGAGAAAGTACAGAAAACAGAAAAATAAGATGTTGACAAAAGCATTCCAGATGGCATTTCACTTTGATTAGGACTGCATCAGTTAGAGGGCTAGACATGATGTGACAACAAACAATACAAAATCTTAGTGGCTTCATGCAAGTAAAGTTTATTTTTTCCTTGTGCTTCCAGCAGGTAAGCAGGCAGCTCTGCTCACCATGCCACTCAGACATTCAGGCCATAGACTACAACTCAACAGTGGTTTTCTTGATCACTGTGGCAAGGGACAGGAATGTGGCAGATTGAAAATTTTACTAAGCAGTGACTTGTATCACCATCGTAAATTGCATGGCCACATCTAGTTTCAGAGCAGAATAGAGAGACACAATCCTACTAACTATTTAGAAAAAAAGATTTGGAATATCTGTCAACAGGCCAATAGCTATCAAAAAAGGGGTTGACCTTTTAACTTTGCCCCAAACTGGAAGAAAACTAAGGCAATGCACAATTTCTCTCAATCTACTCCATATAAAGGGTGAGTGAAAGATTCACTGTCAGATTTTTTTGATTAAAATGATTCAGACGTCATGTTTATAAATGTATCATTAGCATTTGGTAGATGAATGTAAGAAAATCCAATCACACTGATTATTTTTATTAAAAAATACACTAGCTCAGCTGAGCATGCCAATTAAAATTATGGATTGTAAAAAGAAAGATAAAAAAGTCTAACCTGTTTCTGATTCAACTGAAAAATAGGGTTGTCCCTGTAGAATACTGTACACAACTTTAGCACTGTTCCCATATGTTGGATCATCTGCATCCGTTGCAGTGACTTGGACAACAAATGTACCTGTAATGACAGAAACATAAAATGAAAACACATCAAGAGCTCATATCAATCTTTGACACACACTTTAAAAACCACACAATCTGAATTTTGTATGGAAATATCATGCTGAGGAGTGGAGAACTTTGATAGGATGCTAGGAGAAAAAGAACTGGATTCTTTAAAGAAATACAATCAACATTTATAAATATTTTAAGAATTAGATTACAGAGAAGCATGGGAGTGATCATGACTTCAGGTGGAACTGATTCTAGCCCATTTCCAATGGCAGGATTTGACTGGACTCTTGCTTTAGTGATTCTTTCAAGTTATCCAGGACAGTCAATCAGCATCTTGCTTCCTTTGTCCACAGGAATTAGTTTAGGAGTTGTCCAATCAGGGGCCACTCATGGTTTTGCTGGAAATTCTTGGACTCTAAAGTGCTGATAAACATTTGCAGCAGCTATTTTGTGCTCTTAGAAATGCCAGCCCAAGGACAAAGTTGAACAGAATAGAAAATTACAGAAAAACAGCTAGAACTCAGATCAAATCCTGTCCAAAGCCCATTTTACTTTTGGACTTAAGTGACGTGACCAATAAATACTTATTTGTTGTTGTTTAAACTAGTGTGGGTTGGGTTTCCTGTTATTTACCAGTAAAAGCATCCTAAATGATAAATCTATCTGACAATTCTAAATGGTTGAAAGACCTTGAACCTTAAAAGCTGTAGTTACGGATTACATAAAGAATCAATGAATTGAAACAGCAGAGCACAAACATCTGGAATCTGTAATTCCAAAAGGTTATTATAATTAAATTGTATATACAAAGAAGGCTATTACATTTCAGATCAGTATTCTTATTTTAGAGACCACAGTCGCCTAAAAATCTTCAAAGTATTCCTAACCCCCTGAAATTCCACATAAATTTTCACGTGTATGCCTACATGCCTATTTCACTGAAGAGAAGGTCCATAGATTTTATATGATTCTCAAAGGGCTCTATGACTTCCCAAAAGGATAAGCGTCTCTGATTAAGATCACTTAATGGCTGTTTTTTTTTTTTGTTATTTGTGTCAGATAACCAGTAAGCATACTGTGGGAGTTTCCCTTTCCATGAAAGGGGAAGGGAAGTTACATCTAGGGAATGTTAGGAGTTCTACATTGCTTTTGTAATAGCTAGCCAATTTCACTTATTGAACAAATACATTGTAATATGTTAGGGTTGGCTATCCTGAATGTATATTGATGATGCACAAAACAGAGGACCTGCCCTTGCAATTTGTCAAGGGAGGCGGGGAGAATGAGAACATCTTACCATTTTTAGAGTGAGAGCGAAGTCAACAAACACTCAAGTTCTTATTTAACATTAACACAAAATTTGATGGCTTTTAGAATATGATATCTGGACATTATAAACGTCTGCTTGTTGTTAGATTTTGTACTAGGGGCTCTGCACCTGTTTTCTCATCTAATCCTCATGATAGCCCTTAGGAGTTGACATTTATTATTTATTTTTTCAAGATACAGAACTGGAGGATCAGAGAAATCAAATAAGTTTGCCCAAGGCCACAGTACTGGCTGTAGTGGAGAGGGTTTCAAATTCAGTTCTGTTTGATACTGAAGTCCGTTTTTGCTCCCACGCTGTTGTCCCACTACCTTTATGTAATTTCTTGAAGATGCCTTTCTATAGTCACAATAATGACATATCAATTAAGAATGATGACTATCGGCTTAACTGTGACTGTGTGCAAATTGAAAAAAGCCTTTTTTGACCCTCAAGATGTGTTACTGTCAACTACCCCTAAATGTTTGTAACACAAATTTAATTCTATAATGGCTTCAAAAGTGAATGGCACTCCTTAGAATTGTGCAGTGCAATACCTGCATATCCGGTTTCAGTTGCCCTGAACAGTGCTGTTTAAGAGACTATTCTTCATAAATTCTTCTGCCTTTTACCAAGGAAAGGAGAAATTTTTTTCCTAACAAATTTTCCTCTTTAAAGAATGCCATGCTATTGCTGCTATAACCAGTGAAGAAGAAGAAGAACAAAATCCAATCATCTCTCTCTTTGCTTTGTGAGGCTTGCAATTTTTGTAACAAAACCAAGTGGCTTTGCATAATGAGATAAGCAATTTCTTCATAAGAAAAATGTAGATGTTTTACAATGATTTCCATGGATTGTTATTTTCTATGTCTTGGATCTGTGAACTACCATGTCTCTGATATCTAACTGGCATAATAAAGTTATGTAATTTCAGCTGTTTTGAATTTGACAGAGTGAAAATAAAAATAGTTGTTTATGTAAGTAGTTTAAAATTTGTCACTGTCTCCCATGAATTACTTCAATGTGGCTAAGAGTGATGTCAGTAGAATTCTTTTTCTTAATTTAAATCCTGTTTACTTCTCCTAATTTAAACAAATTAAATCCACTACTTATTTAAAACAAGTAGTGGAATTGTGTATAAAGTATTAATTCACTCTATGTATGTCATGAAAGTCTCTTCATTTCCACCAGGTAATAAAGGGTCCTCTCCATAGACATAGTCTTCCTATTGTTTATGGATTAAAAAATGGTCTTTGAATCTCTTTTCCAGATATACAGTTCCTAGTTACTTAAAGCAACCATCACTACTTTTGAGACTGGATTATAAATATAAGCTTTTATTTTCTATCTGTGAAGTTGTTACTTGGACCCTAACACCAATGTGGGCTAAGAGAAGTGGAGAAGGTTGCTGCCTTTCAGCCCAAGAAAGAGAATGGGCGTTGAGGATGGGAGAGAAAGGATATGGTCTCTCTTCCAACCTCCTGCTCCCACCCTGCCACTTTTCAGAATCTCTTTAGAGGAGATGTGGTTTTAAAAATAAAAAATAGAAATACCATTTGATGCAGCAATCCTATTACTGGGTATATATCCAAAGGATTATAAGTCATTCTACTGTAAAGACATATGCACATGTAGTGATTATTGCTGCAGTGCCTACAACAGCAAAGACTTGGAGCCAACCCAATGCCCATCAATGATAGACTGGATAAAGAAAATGTGGCACATGTACATCATGGAATACTATGCAGCCATAAAAGGGATGAGTTCATGTCCTTTGCAGGGACATGGATGAAACTGGAAATCATCATTCTCAGCTAACGTATACAAGAACAGAAAACTAAACACTGCATGTTCTCACTCATAGGCGGGTGTTGAACAATGAGAACACGTGGACACAGGAAGGGGAACATCACACACTGGGGCCTGTTGGGGGGTGGGGGAGATAGGGTAGTATTAACAGGGGGTGGGGAATTGGGGAGGGATAACATTAGGAGAAATACCTAATTTTTTGATGATGGGATGGATGCAGCAAACCACCATGGTGTGTGTATACCTATGTAAGACCATGATCTGCACATGTATCCCAGAAAGAGTATAATTTAAAAAAAGAAAAAAATAATAAAATGAGACTAGAGTACTACTAGGAAACACATGCACTCACTGTAACATTAGGAAACAGGGAAAAAGGAAAAATGCCCTTTTCTCCACCCATGTATTAGGACATACATGGATTGAAGAGGTGAGCGTCTGAATTCATTCAGCTCAGTACTCCAAGCTCATGGGATTCCTTAGTCAGCGGACGCACTAGGGGAGAGCCAGTTTTTGGCTGAAGTCACATCTCACTCACCGACATCAGACATTTCAGGGACGGTGGCTGTGTAAACCTCCTTGGTGAATATCGGCTCATTGTCGTTGATGTCATGGATCTTGATGATGAATTCAGACTCGGGCTCCACGGGTCTCCCTGTCCTTCTGTTTATAGCTTGAGCTCGAAGGATGTAAACAGGTTTTTCTTCCCTGTCCAGCCTCTTGGTGGCCTGTATGTCGCCTGTGTTTTCATTAATAATGAAGAGATCTCCTGCTCCATCTCCTGAAAGGATATATTTAAGTGATCCATCTCCTCTATCCTGGTCTGAATGTAACTAGTGTAGAAAAAAAAAAAAATTAAAGAAAGTAAAAGTCAAGCATGTGGTCCTAAACTGTTTTTGTCTTTTTGGTGCATGCTATGTTAACTTTTATTCAATTATTTCTAAGGCTTGCAGGTTTTTCTCTTTTTACCATTTATATAACCTCTCAATGGTAAATTCTTTCATTAATGAACATGTGTCCTTACAACCAGAGCATTTTCCAGAACTGGGTCAGAGTTTTGGAGAAAATTTAGTAATCTTTATTTTGAAGAGGGGAAAACAAAAGGCAAGAGCAATAGTAAGGTAGCCGAGGACATATTAGGCTGGCTGGAATGGAACTCTTTTCACTATTTTCCTATTTTCACCTCAGCTTTCACATTCCACTAATACACTCTCGCCCTCACTTGTATGTACACAAACATATTAGAGAAGCAATATCCTATTGAGAAAAGGACTTTGTTTTTGAATCAGAGAGACTTGGGTATGTACTGTTTCTACCTTACATTTATTATCTTGGTGAATTTAGGGAAGCTTGGCAACCCCCTTGAGTCTTGGAGATTATAATCATTTTTTCTGGGAAGATGTGATGTTTATTTATTTATGAAATTCATCTCGAAACATTTGAGAAATATCCTAAGGGCTGCCATGGGCAATACCTTGAAAATCACCTGACTAGATAATTTACAGGTCACTTGAAACAATAACATTTCACATTCAGATTTTAGTATAAGATAGGAAAGGACCTTCTAATAATTAGAGTCAACCTAAAATTGAAACAGTCTGTCTTATGAGGTAGTGAGTTCCCTGCTCCTAAAGGTAATCAAGCAGAGACTCTGATGACTAACTGTCAATAATGTGGGTCCAGGTAAAGGGTGAAATTAAGTGAATTCTGAGGATACTATGGAAATAGAAGATGAGAATCCTAACTTGGATAAGTAGTCCATGTTTCCTGTCCCAAAGATTATATCCACAGTGTTGAGTTTCTAATGTTTCCTAACTTCCCTTTTTCTCACCCAGTAAAATGTTAGATGATACCTTTAGATGGTACTTAGACCTAACTATAGGTCTATAAGATATATATATATACACACACATTTATAATTAGGATATATGTATATCCTATCTATCTCTATATAGAAAATTATATATACACATTATCTATATTATCTATATATGGGACAGGATATATAATATATACATAATTTTCTATATATATTTTATATATATAATTTTCTCTATATATTATATATCCTGCCCTATATATATAATATATATATATAATTTTCTATATATATATATACACATAGGATAGGATATGTGTGTGTATGTATATATATATAAAATTAGGTTTGTAGGTCTTCAGATAATCGGACCCTATTTGCAAATTTTCAAAAAGCCTTGTTTATTAAGGAGGACTATTTATAAACCCCCAGCATTATAAGCATCCATGGTATATAGAGAAGTCAGTCTTAGTGGGAAGGCTGCTACTCTCTACCTTGTTTCGATTCTGTCTTAACAGAGTACGGGCATGCTACGAACGACAACAAGAACAGCGGAACCGCGACGCCAAGCCTTTCTCCTGTTGATTTATACACTGCACAAAGTGCTCGGAGAAGCATTACACATATGAAAATAGACTCTTAGGGCAAAAAGACACTTTAAAAATAATCTAACCTAGTCTAAAAGTATTCCACTGAATATCACTTACAGGAAGCGCTGAGGGAAAGAAGACTTTCTTTACGGCCCCTTTCTTGGAGTCATGGTTAACATGTCAAAAGGCTCTGAGTGTCTGCAGTTTGAAACTATATTTGATTTGGTGTAATCTAGTTTTCCCTAACTTTCTTGTTTAAATAATCCTTTTTGGATGTAACTTACATTGATATCCCCCATACCAGTTTTCCAAAAAAGATACTTTGGGAAACATGAACTAATTTAAAATCCATCATTGTAGAGTCAAGAAAACTGAGAATCCGGTGTGTGCTGTTTCCAAAATCACACAGCTCACGTGAGAGAGTCTGAAGATTAACACTTGAGCACAGGAAGAGGCTTTATAGATTGTGTGGTGCAACTTTCTCCTTTTTAGAGGTAGACAAACTGTGTCTAATGTAACACAGCTAAAGCGAGTTAATTGTGGCATTTGGGGAAGATAATATTATTCATATAATTAGTAGCCTTGAAAGCAATTTGGCAGAAATAATGGAAGATAAATTCGAATGGGGAGGAAATTGCTTAGAAGTGAGATAAATGCAATCAGAAATGTAAAACAAGAGCATCCCATGATTTGAGTAATGGGATATGCTAAGGAAATGTTGAAACCATGATGCCACAGAAAGAGCCACTGGGGAAAGTTTAACTCTCCATTGTCAAATTCGAATGACTGAAGAGGCTCTTAAAAAGCGATTTCATTAACCCATGAGTAAGGAAACCTATGTCACTGCCTGGCGGATCCTTGCTCTAGGGCAGCTGTGGTCAGCAGCCTGGCACAGTACGGGGGGCACGGTCCTAGGCGTGAGCCATGTTCATTCCTTTTCACTCTCGGCAAGTGTAACGCCACAGCAGAGTCAATTAACCTCCCTCAGCCAGAATCCTTATCTGCAAATTGAGGGTAATAAGAGCTACACAGAGAGGCTGTTGTGAAGATCTAATTGAAGACCACATGCAAATAGTACATTAACCACCATGTAAACATGCAATAAAAGCATGGTATGTGTCTCATAAATTACAAAGTGCCTCCCAAATTTAAGAGAGTGCTACTGTTATTAACTCTTAGTTCATAATCAGCATGTTTTTGCTCCTATTTTGACTTTGAGAACTTTGTTTAGGAGACTTTGAAAATGCAGTTTTACAGACACATGGTATCTCTAAGGTAAAATCTGTGATCAAAAGCCAGTATTCTTTAGTCGGGGCGGGGGTGGGGAAGAGGGGGGCAATTGGTGTCTTTACATGTGATTTATTATATTCTGTATTCCACTAGATTATACACGCTCCTCCACCAGTTCTTTCATCGGTTTCAATATGTAATTGTTGCACACTTAATAGGTGAATTCCACATCTGCGCACAAGATTTATTCAGGTAAAAGTAATCAGAAACTTATTTTTAGCTGTCAGGAGAGACCATTTCGATGACTTACAGAACAAACACCCGAGACGATGTAAAAGGGCAGAGGAAACGTCAAAGAGGAGTGTGGGCTAGGATTGCTTTGCAGATTACAGTTCAGATTTATCAATATTTGAAAACTAGTGGGAAAACGCATCTCTTCTCTTTGCATTGTCTGGTAAAAAAGCAATTTAACCTCCTCCCGCTTCCTCCCTCTAAAGTGCGTTTTTTGGGTCTGTCAGAGTACAAGGAGTGGAAACCTCCCAAAACCTCTGCTTTTTCTTCCCACCTTCCTCCTCTGCCATTGAACTCCCCTGGGGCCAGTTCTTTACTTGGGAAAAAAAGGAAACATAAGACATCAGTGCCTGTGAAAGTGGTGGTGAAAACCAGACATTAGGGGTTTATTGAGCACTTAGATTTTAATTGGATTTTTTCTTTTGTGATGTCATCCATCATGGCTACTGTAAAAGACAGAAGTTAAACAACAGCAAATAAAAGGTTGTAGGCTGCCTGAGGCATGTTTTTACTAATTTCAGTTTAATGTGGCTGTTCCATTAAGTTTAATCATCTGGTCCACGTTTAACGATTCACCATCAAGTAAAAATTACTCACTTGCCTCAGAAAGTCACATCTCACCTGTGACTGGTAAGACTTTTTACTACTGTACCTGTAGCATTTTGTGCCAGAGGGAGCTCTTGCTCTTGGTCTGTTTCCTCTGTTGATTTTTAATATTTATTTATTTAGAGATGGAGTCTCACTTTGTCACCCAGGCTGGAGTGCAGTGGCATGATCTCAGCTCACTACTGCCTCCGCCTTCCAGGTTAAAGTGATTCTCCTGGTTCAGCCTGCCATGTAGCTGAAATTACAGGCAACTGCCAACACACCTGGCTCTAATTTTTTGTGCATTTTTGGTAAAGATAGAGTTTCACCATGTTGGCCGGGCTGGTCTCAAACTCCTGACCTCAAATGATCTGTCTGCCTTAGGCCTTCCAAAGGGCTGAGATTACAGGTGTGAGCCACTGTGCCCAGCTGATCTATATCTATATCTATATATGAAATATATATATAAGAAATATATATATATATGAAATATATATATATGATATAACATATAGCATCTTGGCAAATAAACATAGGGATTTGTGGTTGTAGATGTAGCTCCATAGGGGGTGACACCAAAACCATGGCAGCATCTTTGCCTGCTGGGTGTTGTGGTTTCCTGGGGACACAGCATGTTTTTACATGCTAAATGTGCCAACTCCCAACTTGACTTTAAATCAAATTCAAAGGCATAACAAAGACGTTCAGTGGTCTATGAAGGCAGCCAATGCTGCCCTATTGCTCCCATTTCTTGTGTGTCCTCAAGTCACCATCTGAGTTAGAGACCAAATGGAATCTTCTAAGCATATGCATTGTTGAGATGCAAATCAAAACGACATTGAGATACCATCTCACGCCAGTTTGAATGGCGGTGATTAAAAAATCTGGAGACAACAGATGCTGGAGAGGAGGTGGAGAAATAGGAACACTTTTACACTGTTGGTGGGAGTGTAAATTAGTTCAACCATTGTGGAAGACAGTGTGGCGATTCCTTAAGGACCTAGAAATAGAAATTCCATTTGACCCAGCAATCCCATTACTGGGTATATATCCAAAGGATTATAAATCATTCTACTATAAAGACACATGCACACGAATGTTCATTGCAGCACTGTTTACAATAGCAAAGACCTGGAACCAACCCAAATGCCCATCGATGATAGACTGGACAGGGAAAATGTGGTACATATACACCATGGAATATTATGTAGCCATAAAAAATGATGAGTTCGTGTCCTTTGTAGGGACATGGATGAACCTGGAAACCATCATTCTCAGCAAATGGACACAAGAGCAGAAAATCAAACACCGCATGTTC